GGAAAAAAAAAAAGAAAGTTGGGGGTGGGGGCTTGCGCGTAATAAAAAATCTAGTATTTCATTCTTTTTTGTGAATATGCTTACAGTTTGAAAATTTCGTTTAGCATACTAACTTATAGGTGGCTAAAAATCTGGCACAGGGTGAAAAGAAAAATACAAACAAATGGGGCTGTGTCACTTTGGGGGGGGGGGGATGTTTAAAGACTCTTTAGAAGTAAAATAAAAAGAAAAGATGCGATTAATAATTCAGAATTAGTTAACTATAACTGCCTGTATTTAACTATTAAAGAATACACGTAAGTTTACATGCCAAAAAGATTTTTAAAATACGAAATGCCTTAAGAAATAATATACGCACCTGAACTGCACTTTTACCTAAATATTATGCTATACTTGGGATTGAAGATAAATAAGTAGGAGTCAAAATAAATGAATAATCGATAATTGAATCCCTCCACAAGGTCCAAAACATCAGTAGCACAAATCAAGGTGGGCCGGTGACATTTGAATTTGCCATTTCGGCTGCCAGGGTCACTTTGATGTTTGTCCGTTTTGTGATAATTGGGCTTGGGTTGCCTCAGCCTGAGCTGGTTCTGTCGGTGATATTTGGGTCGCTTCCAAAGCGTCAAAGGTGATATTCGGGCAGTCCGAGCCGCTTTTGCATTAATCATTAAAATAAAACTTGCATATTCAATATTCACTTATTTTGTTGTATGTTCAATAATAAAAATATAAAAGTCAATGAGTGAGTAATACTAATATGTAATTTGTAATTGATAACGATTTTGTCAGTGGTCAGCAACCTTTTTTTTGAGTAAAGCGCCATTTTTATAAAGTATATATGAATTATATGCCAATACTAATAAAGAGCTGCAGGCACCCGCATGTTCTATGTATTAAAGGCAGCCATATCTTTTAAAGGCAAAGGGTTACACTTTAAACTTATGCGGCACATCTTTTATTTCAAAATACTACACAATGATGAATGAGTGTATTTAAAAAAAAAAAACTTTAAGATTAAACAATTGTAATAATTGATTAGTATAAATATCTAATTACAAAATATATTTTTAAGTTGGATAATAAAAAATAAAAATGGGATATCTCTCTCCTGAGAAACCCGGTTAATTTGACTGTCAAGCATTTTCTTTACCACAAAATGACAGTTGCATGGTCAGGCATTAAAAAATGTAGACAAAAATCGCGTATACAATAACTTTATTTCCTTTGCGATAAATCGATTTAGAACATTAAAAGTATTATAAAAATATTTTATACAAATGTAAATTACACGTTCAAATTTTTTATTACATGCATGGCATAACATTATGTTATATCAGGGGTCACAAAACTATGGACTCCGGCGAGGCCAATTCATCCGGCCTGCCCACGTTACTTAAACTTGCTTGATAAAATGTCTGGAACATAATACATTGTGATACAATTTACATTTCAATATTATGTTCAGAATACCAGGAGATCTTCATGCATGGTGAGACCTCCTGGCCTCTATGCTCTTTAATTTACCCTTTTCAATTTTAAATTATTGTATCTAGATTTTCTTGTTTCTTACAGAGCTGTTTACCCTCGAACTCTTAAAATCGTAAAATATCCTCTAAAATCGTACTATATGGTATCTTAATCGTAATTAAATAAACATACAGCATGTAAAATGAATCAGTAACTACTTGCATTGCAGTGCCTAGTAGGATCGAGTTAAGCTGGCGCCAAAAAAAGTTAAGTACTAAAAGTAGATGACCGACGTTTATAATACAATCTTTGGTCACTTTGTTTTGCAAACTAGTATTTTTTTTTTCATATTTGAAACCCCACGATCATTTTTAATCATTTTGGCTCCTGGTTTGAATTCAGAGTTAGCCTTCTCTAAGATGGGTTGCCAAGGCTAGCGAGTCCCATCCACGTGGGGATGCTTGACTGGGCTTTTCGTCAAATTTCTTTGTGAACGCACTATACTATATAGTAAAACAAAATAATGCAATCGAAATAAATTTGAAGCAAAATGTTAACTTGTGAACTGAAAAAAAGATTTGACCAAATTTCCTTTTGATCAATTTTCCGTCGACTAAACATCTTTCCGGATACGGCATGAAACAACTTATGTCTGTGAGCAAAAATTTTTAAAAATTAATTATTTAAAGTCAACACATTGAACGAGAGGGATTGATGAACATTTGAAAACAATTCTCTTGATTGGATGCAGCAATTCCAAACCACAAGATGATATCTTGAAAGCCAAACGTCATTTTCACAAATCTCACTGAACTTTTTTGCTGCTTAGCTTGTTAGATTTGAATATGTTTGCACTAGGTCTGATTTAACTATCTTTTTGCTAACGTTGCCTTATTTGCTAACTTTATTAGTAAGTAAATGTGTTGGTTTTCTTTGTTTTTGTTTTGCATTGCACGCCACTCACCCATGATTAACATGGAATACTAAACTTATTTTTTCGTCTTTTTTTCCCAGAACTTTCGTTCTGGCTTGCAAGTATTGTACATAATTATTATCCGGCCCACGTCAGTCTTTTATTCGGTTATCCAGCCCGCCGTGAAAAAAGTTTGGTGACCCCTGTGTTATATTATCCTGAAAATCTATTCAAATCATTCCTGAATTTAGTCCAATCATGTTATTTTCACCCAATCATCTGTCAGATTCTAAATTTTGGGACACTTCAGCATCCTGAACAAAAATTCCAAGATTGAGATGCTACAATCCAAGTTATCCTAGTGATAATGAGCCCTACTTCAGTAGGAAAGTGTCTGACAAGTCATTCACCATTTTGTTTTATTTTGCCTGTCTGTTTTTTATGGAGCTGCTGTTGTATATCTGAAACTTTCTTAGGCACACCAATTTTAATAAGATTCTTCATAAACCATCACAGCCAACACTAACTCTATGGAGACTTAAATCTACCTGTCTTGGAAAGCCCAAGTGAGCATTTTCCCTGCAACACACTGTAGTGTAATGCCTCTGTTGTTTGAGCAGTCAGATATTTTCCCTTTTTTTCTTGAAGGGCATCTTGAAGTTGCTGGGGAATGTCAAATAGGTAGGAGAATAACAAAGAGACAAAGGAGAAAAAGTGTAGGGACAAGGAGCTTTGACAACTAGTAACTAGTTAATTTATTTCTGAATTATAGTAGGACGCTGGTAAAACTATATATTTTCCAGATGAATTAATGAGATAATAAAATAAAATTTTAAATATTATATTTAGTGGAGATAATTATATTATTTTTTATTGTACTTAGATAATATGGCAACCCGAAAAAGAAAACTAGAACTACTTGACAACATTCAGAGCAAAAAGGCTAACAATGGCAAAGGAGTTTGCGAAACCAATGTAGATTCAAGCAAGGCTGGAAGAAGCAAATTCACTCAAAATAAAGATGTTGAACATTATCTCACAGACCTGCACTTCTACATTCTCCCAGCAGGAATCCAAAAAACACGCTTAACCATTTTTAAAAACCAAATCCTGAGATGTGGGGGCCAGGTTTATGATAATTATAGTGAGCCAGTTCATAAATTGACACACATAATTGTGGATGATAAAATGGATATAGCAAGAATGAATAGAATTTTGCATCTTGAGAAAAGCCCTGACATTCCAATAGTGAAATCTGCTTGGTTGAGTTTGTGTTTAAGAAATAAAGCATTAATGCCAAGAGAGTTCTTCACAATGGAATCAACTACACCGTCCGCAACCAAACCAACTGAAGACAAGTATCAAGAGGAAATGAAAAACTTTCCAAATAATATTCCTGAGAGTACATTGGATGCATCCCAAGAAGAAAAAGTAGATGGCAGCCAATTTAGCAGAGGTAGCAGACAATTGCTTACTGGCCACACTGGAAGTAGCGACTATTCTTCAAGTGAAGATGAAAGGAAACCATCTACCCCAGTTCCTGTTTCTGCTCAAGCTGGAGTCAAGGTAAATTGAAAAATGTTTATTTTAATTAGCTTAAATTTAATCATTTATGAAACATGCAGGGTATTTTTTGTTAAATATTCAAATAAAGTTATTTTTTCTTGATGTTATTCTGGATTTTTTAAACTTAACAAAGTCACAAAGTTCATGTCTTTCAATTTTCAGCTTTCTTTGTTATAGAACTTAAAAAAAATGATACTTTGTACATCAAGTAATTTTTCTGCCAAGTACAAATAGCCTACTTATATTTTAAAACAGGCCTGCACAACATACGGCCCGTGGGCCGCTTGCGGCCCGCCAGCACCATTTGGCGGCCCGTGAAGTAACGAAATATTCTTTATTATTATTATT